CCATTTCAAAAACTAACTCTTAGATTATTAGCAGTGTTGCTGGTGAACAAAACAGCATACTTCTGACACCGAACAAAATATAGCACAGGTAGAGAACAGGCTTTTAGTGACCCAACTTTTCGTTCTATAAAGAGCTTTAAGCGGAGAGAAAAGTTGTCACAGTGAAAGCTTGTTTTGTACCTGTGTCTTCAGCAGTGTTGGTGGTGTTGGCAGGGTGGCGGCCCAGGCTCAGGAAGGGTCTCATTTACAAGCTCTGGTCGATTTCCTAGTGTCTGTGTCCAGCGGCTCCCAGGTCTATTTTATCCATGACTTCTCCGTTACAGGTAACTCCTTATTAATATTTTTTTTTCTTTATCGGGAATATAACGATATAAAAAATTGGGAATTTTGTGGATGGGAAGGGTCGATGCATGAAGGAGCGAACACCCTGACCGGCCCGCCACTCCTACTTTCCGTACCTCATACATCTAGCATTAAGACATTTTTTTGTGTGACAGACACTGGAACGTTAGTGGAGGCGTGTTGCCAGAGGCTCCGGGAGGTGATGATCTTCAATTACACCCAGGAGCTGACGGAGGTACAAGCTGTAATTAAGTCTTATCAACAAGTGAAGGGTCTCAGAAATATCATCGTAGTCTGTTCCCACCTCCACACTCTTCATATCTTCCAACAGGTACTATCCACAGGCTTGAATACCAGAGAATAGCTATGCTCTTGATGTCTTCTCTGCTATGCCATTTTATCTTATCAATGTACCTATTTTACAATGTTTGTAGCGCTCACTATTTCCTAGTGGATCACATTCCTGCCATTTAACACGGTGAAGACATACCAGCGTGATTGTCATGTTAATCTTCAACTGAGTTTCATTATGGCAAATAATATCCTTTTTATACATCTCGTGTCTATATATATATATATATATATATATATTATATATATATATATATATATATATATATATATATATTATATATATATATATATATATATATATATATATATATATATATATTATATATATAAATATATATGTATATATATATATATTATAAATATTTTATATATATATATATATTTTTATATATATATTATATATATATAATATATTTATATATATATATAATATATATATATTATATATATATATATTATATATATATATATATATATATATATATATATATATAAAATATATACACATGTGAAGGTGTGATGGTGACTTAAACCTTGCTTAGACAAATTATGTTTAAGCTTAATGTATAAGTGGCAGCTCTGTTGATCCAAATCATATTAGCATACATACTGATGTTCACACTCTTTCATCATAGCTAGTTGGTTTAGAAAAGCACGTAAGCAAACACTAGGACATAATTATTAGAAAACGTTTCGGTCCTGAGACCTTGATCACTTCTAACGTACAAAATTTAACAGACATTTTATATAAGAGAGTGAGGTGTGAGTGATGCATGGTGACCTGAAGAATGCCATGTTGGGATGAGGACGGGTAGATGGTGAGATCATGTAACTCCTGGGTTGCTGGGTAGGTGGTGCTTTGCCTGGTTGAGTATCATGTCTGCTAATGTTTTAGAAATTTTGTGGTTTCCAGTGTTACGTTTTAATGTGTCGGTGACGGCGATTACCGAGGCTTCTAAGGTCTTGTTCGGCGAGAACGAGTTGTGCCTCATCCCAGTTCATCAAATGCCCCGTGAAGTCTCTGTGGAGGACACAGGCGTACCTTATTAAGTCATCTCTGTTACTGGTATTTCGATGCTCGTTCAGACGGACCGCAAGATCTCTGCCAGTTTAGCCTTCATATTTCTTGGGACAGAATCCACAGGGGATGGTTAGGGGAAGTTAAGGGTATGTTGCTGCGTTTCGTAGTGAGGTCTTTGATAGATGATGTGTTTATGGTAGAAACATTTGTTACTCGCCAGGCACTTGCTAAGAGTAACATAAATGTTTCTGCCATAAACACATCATCTAATAAAGACCTCACTTCAAAACGAAGCCCCACACCTCTAACTTCCACAGCAGGCATCTACACCATCCCCTGTGGATTCTGTCCCAAGAAATATGTAGGCGAAACTGGCAGAGATCTTGCGGTCCGTCTGAAGGAGCATCGAAATACCAGTAACAGAGATGACTAAAGGTACGCCTGTGTCCTCCACAGAGATTCCATGGGGCATTTGATGAACTGGGATGAGGCACAACTCGTTCTCACCAAACAAGACCTTAGATGCCGACGGTGTCTAGAAGCCTTGCTAATCGCCGTCACCGACACAATAAAACGTAACACTAGAAACCACAAAATTTCTAAAACATTAGCATACATGATACTCAACCAGGCAAAGCACCACCTACCCAGCAACACAGGAGTCACATGATCTCATCGTCTACCCGTCCTCATCCCAACATGGCATTCTTCAGGTTACCATGCGTCACTCACACCTCACTTTCCTCCTATATATACTATCTTTCAGCCTCGCCACCATCACAAGACCTTCTCAAGCTAATTCAAGACATTGTTAACTTCACCTCAACCACTGGTAATACTCGTAACTCTGACCAAGACTCTACTCCAGAACCAACACCACCGTCTACTGCCACCTTTCACCACCCACCACCAGCCCAACAAACCACAACCGACCAACACTCCCTGCCTCCTCTCAAGACAGTCACAGAAGACGAAATAGAACCAGAACATTATGAACAACCCTCGGACGACGACAAAGTAGTAGTCGAAGAAGTACCGAAGAAGAAACCACAGGCAACCGTTACCTAAGCCAAGCCTTTAATGGGTCTCTAACCTTCTACACCACCCCCAACCTCCCAACCGAAATGAGCGCAGCTGATATGCTCCACTTAATGAAAGAGGGAGCTGTTAAGTACACCTGCACCAAACCTCACCAAATTCCTTTTGAAAACGCACTATCTTACCTCGTGTCGAATCTGGACTGCTCCAACCTCAGAATGCAACTATTCCACATGTCCAAGAGAGACTTCATAAGACTCAAGAGTGGCTCCATCACATGTTGAGAAATGGGATTACCAGTTAAGCTTAATTTTAAATTTAAATATAGGGAACACTTAGCTGATAAAAGACAGCAAATCGTCTACACAGCCGCCCCTGCAGACAAGGTCTTGAATTGTTGTCATGATCATCTCTCAACAGGCTGTAATGAGTTATAATTTGTAAGATTATAAATTACCCCTAGGGGGTGTTATGGCAGCATATTTCATTCACTGATGGCTGACAAACTTACTTGTGTGGACTCAAAAGTCCGCACCTAACTGCCGACTATAGGTTGATTACGAACTCCTTGCGACTCAAGAACTGTGCAGTCCCCTGTACTACAAGAAATTCGTAACCTACCTTGCTCTTGTAGCGTGAGCTATGGTGTTCTTCACACCTTCGACAGGTATCGGTGACTTGATAGAAGCTGAAGTGTCCTTGGATGTCCACGTCTTCCATAGTCTAGGAATATGCACACTGGTACACTATGTTCCACAAGATTTGTCTTTATTGTTCACAATCTTATCACTAAAGAAGCTGATCACACTTCTCTTAAGTGTTTATTGTGTTTTATGAGACACTTTGTTCACACTAACGCACAGATCAGTGTTCTTTGATGGTTATCCTGGCATCAGTGTCACTCCCAGTAGAGTCAAAAGTAATCTGAAGACGCCACAACGCCCCACGCCGTCACTGCCCCCAGCACAAAGGAAAAGCTGACCTAGTACTTTTGCTTCATTGCCACTTCCTCGATGAAGCAAAGCAGAATGTTTGTTTCTTGCTGTCTTAAGCATAGACAACAATGTCCACTATCTTTACTATGGTAATAAAGTGGGAGCAGGATTTACCTTAATTGTCCTGCTAAGGTAAGAGATGTACTGTCTCTTATTAAAATACACTCTGCAACACTGGACCGCACAGAGCGGCGGTCGCTTGACCACAGGTCGTATACTGGTACTGCATCTGGGATCAATTACTCGCTGTAGCAGTAAACAAGATATTTGCCCCTTCTGAGAGAGGGCTGAATCTGTCCGAAAGCCATGCGATACTTGCTAGGCAGATGTGGTGGATTTAATTTCCATGGTAACCTAACCCAATACTGTCCATCTTTATATTTGGCAGTGTCCAAATATTGGTTATAAGTCTGAGACTCTTGTGGGCTCGGTTTATTTACATCAATACCTATCGCATCTAAATCCCACAACTTATCAACTGGTTCATTCATTTCTTCCAGTAATGATAATTTTTGCTGTGGTACAAGATCAGCGGTTATTCTCGTAACAAGTACATTTTCCACTGAATCAATATCAGCTTCTATCCCACTACGAGAGGGAATGGGACCACATATCATGTCACTCATGTGGCCTCCTGCTGTTTTCAGCAAGTGAACATCATGTTTACTTACAATATTTTGCACAAAACAGTGATAATAATCACTTCCAATGATTAAATCAATTGGACTAATAGTGTCCGTCTGTATGTCAGGACAGGCTAACTTGACCTTAGCTGCTTTCAGTGCTGCAACTGTTTCTTTTAATCCCTGGATCTGCACAGACTTAGGCAAATCATCTACTACCACAGCTTCTACTGTCTTTTTCCTGTTTCCTAGACCAACAGTGATTCTGGCTAGGTCATATGTCTGTTTACCAGAATTGTGGAAAAAACCAGCTATATCTAACTGTACTTTGGCATAGGGTTGTTTATTCAGTTTCTGCAACACTGTTCTTCTTATGAAGGACCTTTGTGAGCCTTGATCAAATAATGTTAGCACATTGGTTTTGTGTAATTTATTAGATAACTCAACTCGATCTATCGGGAGAGCAGTTGCTTTAAACTTATCTCTCACATTTAATGTTGTTGCTTGTTGACTTCCTGATTCTGTGGAAGTCTGCTGCTGTTCAGCAAAAGTATTTGGGCATGATGCTGTATGATGCATACCCTTGCATTTAAAACACTTCTTCAGTGAGCATTTTCCTCCCTTGTGTTCACCTAAACACTTGATGCACCTTTTCAGCTGATAAACACGTTGTTTACGTGCCTCCATTGAAGTGTATTGAATACAATACTGTGCCCAATGTGTTCCATCACAAAGTACACATTTTGGAGTACGTTTATGTATGACAGTCTGTTTACTGTCTGTTGTATTCACAGCTTGATAAATGCCTATATGGGATTTCCCATTCTGTGGTTTAGTGGGAGTAGGTATACTCTTTTTATACTGAGTTGAAGGTTTGTTATACACAGGATTTGTGGATTTTTCATCTTGTCTCGTTGCTTGCATGCATGAAACTATTGTTTGTAAACCATTGCTAATTTCTTCACAAGTGAAATAGCGTTTATTGAACATAATATTTAATCGTTCAATAGTTTGTGGTGACAACTTATCTTGTACAATACCACTGATAAACCAATCACATTGTCTTAGGTCATATTTAGCACCTAGAGATCTGAGACTATTGTCTAATGTGATTCTAAATGCCTGTAAGTCTGAAAAACAATGTTTGGGTGGCTTCAAGCTTGATATTAAGACTGCATGTCTAACCCTGGCCTTGTCATCATCAAAGTAATTGTCTGCTAAGACACGTAAGGCTATTTGATAATTGCCTTTAACCACCGAAAATGACTTAATCAGTTCATAGGGTTCTCCTTTCACAAGACATTTAAGATAATTGAACTTAGCAATCTCATCTATGTCAGTTCGTGAATTTACTATGGATTGAAAATCACTAATGAATTCTTCATAATTATGACCTTGGAAAATAGGTAATGACAAAGTAGGTAAGCTTGGTAATGGGACACTTGTTGTTGTTACAGGTGTAACAGGTGTTTGACCACTAGTTACAGTAGGTCTCTGTGACAGAGTTTTGCGGCAGATAGCCTGTACTCCTGTCCACCTTAATTGTTGATTACTAAAAGTATCCAAAACATTTTTAATTTCATCCTCAGATGGATCTGATTCAAGAAATTTATTTTCATAATGTGTATAGTCTGAATTAATTATTTTCAGACGTTGTGTAAGTAATTCAAATTTGACCTCAAGATCATCAAAATCTATGTTTGTATCTTGAGTTAATCCTATACAGACTGAAATTAGATTTTCTAATTGTGTAATCTTAGTCTGTAAAGACTGAAACTGAGTTTTCAAACAAGCCATTTTAATGGTATACTGAAAATTCTAGTACCACACTTAGAGTGTTTAAAAACACTGTACTGCTATAAACAGCTGAGTTTTTGTTATGCTTAAGTCAGCAATAATCGAGTCAGACACTACTGACCCACTAAGCTTAACCTCAGGGTCAATGACCATGAAGGGTATAGAGTACATATGGCTGGTGTTTATGGCTTGAGTTTGCTGTGTCAGCCTGACCATGATGATTAATCGTAAATAACATTATACACTTCATTCACTGTACACTATAAATGTCATTGTATAACTGCAAATCACACGTGAATATTACTTACACATATATAAATGTCACTGTTAATATGTATTTGAAAGCTTACACTTTATATATAAGTTCCTTTAATATAATAGGTATATCTATAAGAAACAAACTTTAACACAATCTTGTCTCTTAATTTCTGTCTATAAACATTATAAACACTATGTGTATATACACTCAGACAAACCGAACATCAGTTGGGTTGTTGTTGTCTCAGTCAGCGCTTCTTCGAGCTTGGAGCAGTGGATGCCAGGTGCCATCCCCCATTTTCTTGTTGGGTGAGTCACCCAGCTCCCGTTTTCTTTGGGTGAATGCTGGGTGAGCGCCCATTTTCTTTTGTCTGCCCATTCTCTGTGATTGAGTCTGGAGGGACTCATTTATACTGATTATATTGTAAAACACTAGTTTTACAGCTTTTTTCGAAGGACCTTGGCTCGTAGGTTATTTGTACACTGTAGTACAACATATTTGGACCACAGTGTGGACTTTATCCAGTTTGAAGGACCAAAATGTTGAGAAATGGGATTACCAGTTAAGCTTAATTTTAAATTTAAATATAGGGAACACTTAGCTGATAAAAGACAGCAAACCGTCTACACAGCTGCCCCTGCAGACGAGGTCTTGAATTGTTGTCATGATCATCTCTCAATGGGCTGTAATGAGTTATAATTTGTAAGATTATAAATTATCCCTAGGGGGTGTTATGTCAGCATATTTCATTCACTGATGGCTGACAAACTTACTTGTGTGGACTCAAAAGTCTGCACCTAACTGCTGACTATAGGTTGATTACAAACTCCTTGCGACTCAAGAACTGCGCAGTCCCCTGTACTACAAGAAATTTGTAACCTACCTTGCTCTTGTAGCGTGAGCTATGGTGTTCTTCACACCTTCGACAGGTATCGGTGACTTGATAGAAGCTGAAGTGTCCTTGGATGTCCACGTCTTCCATAGTCTAGGAATACACACACTGGTACACTATGTTCCACAAGATTTGTCTTTATTGTTCACAATCTTATCACTAAAGAAGCTGATCACACTTCTCTTAAGTGTTTATTGTGTTTTATGAGACACTTTGTTCACACTAACACACAGATCAGTGTTTTTTGATGGTTATCCTGGCATCAGTGTCACTCTCAGTAGAGTCAAAAGTAATCTGAAGACGCCACAACGCCCCACGCCGTCACTGCCCCCAGCACAAAGGAAAAGCTGACCTAGTACTTTTGCTTCATTGCCACTTCCTCGATGAAGCAAAGCAGAATGTTTGTTTCTTGCTGTCTTAAGCATAGACAACAATGTCCACTATCTTTACTATGGTAATAAAATGGGAGCAGGATTTACCTTAATTGTCCTGCTAAGGTAAGAGATGTACTGTCTCTTATTAAAATACACTCTGCAACACTGGACTGCACGGAGCGGCGGTCGCTTGACCACAGGTCGTATACTGGTACTGCATCTGGGATCAATTACTCGCTGTAGCAGTAAACAAGATATTTGCCCCTTCTGAGAGAGGGCTGAAAGGGGCTGAAGGGGGCTGATACCCCCCTCCTGGAGAAAATTTCTCCACATCACCAGCGAAGTGTAGCCAAACACACAACACACTTCCGCAACACACAACGTGAGCCTCCCGACACCTGACGTCCAAACCAGCTCTTCACCTCAGCCTGAAGCATATCAGCTAGGGAGCACTGTCTACAGTCTGCTCTCTCCTCTATGTCCTCAACATGCCCTCTCTACACTGCCTCGCAGTGCCACGCAGCTGGGTTTAGCCCTGGCTCTTTCATCTACAACTCAAGACCTTCCTCTCACCGACTATTCTCCGTCTGTCCACACTTCCCCACTCACCCACCGGAGTCCCAACAGAAGAGCCTGCTATGTGTGCTCTCAATGTCTGTCCTACGATCAACTTAGCTGCTGGGTTAAGCCCTGGCTCTATTTCTACAACTAAGAACGCTCCTCTCCAGCACTGTTCTTCGTCTGTCCCGTCTTCCCCGCTCATCCCATTTGGGATCTTACCTGAACTTTCGTTCGTTCGTTCGTTCTGTATATTAGAAGTGATCAAGGTCTCAGGACCGAAACGTTTTCTAATAAATATGTCTTAGTATTTGCTTATGTTTTTCTAAACCAGCTTCTCGGTATTTATTATCAAGGTTTATACCATCATAGCTAGTAACCAAATATATCTGCTACCTTGGTGTTCCATGATATAAATGTTGCAGCATATTATTACACAAGATTCAAACTATTATAATTCATACACCAAATTGTCACAGTATATAAGAGTCAAATACGGCGAACTATATCAGTCTATTATACTACTATATTTGTTTCATGACGAGGGGCGCTCTATAAAATAAGTTATACATGTCAATTATCCCAAAGTCAGTTGCATACTGTACTCCACTTTACAGCAATAAAGTTGTTTCTTTGTGTTTGTTTTCCTGTGTTGTGGGGCAGGTAAGGGCTCGTTCCCTGGAGTCAGCTGGAGTGTACTGGTATGTTGTCCTGAACGAGGATGTTAGTGATGGTATCCTCCAAACCCTGAGGGAGGGCACTCAGGTGAGGCAAAGGACCCCTATAATAATAATAATAATAATATAATAATAATAATAATAATAATAATAATAATAATAATAATGATGTTAGCTGCCCACTTCAGTAACTTGGTGTCTTGGGGTGATAGATGTCACTGGCCGTGAGGAGAGACGTGGGAGAGTACGAACTGTTGTCGTCTTACGTCGACCGGAGTAGCAATATCAAGTAAGCCCATCGTAATGTCAATATATTTCGACACCATGATTACCATAACACCATGGATGTCCACCATAAATCTACTATAACATCATGCCCACTACAACATCATCTTCATCACAACAACATCTTCACTGCACCATCATGTCCACTACAGCACTTTACGTTCATGACGTGCACTTACCGACAACTTGAGTATCTTTGGAAGACGTTTCACTAGTCAGTGGCTTTTTCAATACAAACTTTATTGACTGGAGACAATAAATGAGGCAATCAGTCCTTCAGCCTTGAAGAAAGTTAATAAACTCTTGTACTGAATTGATAAAGTCACTGGTTGGCGAAACGTCTTCAAAATACAGATACTGAGGTTTTGCACATGTGTCTAATGCGTCACTTTATGATAGGTTAAGTTACGTTAGGATAAGTTACATTAGCATGTCTGGTCAGGATTGTTGAGGTTATCCTGCCTGCCTGATCCACCTTGAATAAGTTCCATATGCAGCACTTAGGTATCTTGATGATTAAGTTCCATATGCAGCACTTAGGTATCTTTGCTGTCTCAACGTTTCACCTGCACAACAGGCTTGAGGAACTGACCACCTCTTACCAAGGCTGACGGAGTGATCACGTCAGAACCACTACTGCCTCCAGTTGCGAATGAAGAAGCAGGCGAAACGTTTCGTCAATAAAAAAATACCCTAATGTTGTCATAGGATTATCATCTCTTTTTCCTCATATAATTGTGAAAATGGGTTGGGCAAATATTTTTGTTAAATGGGTTTGGGTTTGAGAAGAACCTGCCTAGTATGGGCCAGTAGGCCTGTCGCAGTTTTTCTCCATTCTTATGGTCTAGTGGAAATAAATGGTATAAAATACCGACACAATGGAAATATAAACACATATGCAGTATAATGTGATCCTTTATTGACTACGTTTCGCCCACACAGTGAGCTTTTTCAAGTCACAAACAGATCTACCTGGGGTGGAAGGGACGCGAGTATTTATAGTCAGGTTCAGAATGCTGAGGTCAGGTGGAGAATGCTGCATCTGATGATGTACCGAGTGGGGTTATAGAGTCTAAAATCTTGGGTAGCTTGGAAAGGAGATTGGATAAGTTTGTGAGCAGACCTTCTACAGTGTACTTCCATTCCTGTGTTCTTATGTGTGATAGCGATGAAGAAGTTTCTTGGCAAGTGGTTCAGCTATGTTATAGAAGCCACTATTCTGGTTGAAGTTGTCGGATATAGAAATAAGTGATGATTCCAGGATTCTTCGGTATTGAGTGTTGTCTTCTGTGGCGATAAGTCTTGAGTTTCTGTAGTTTATCAAGTGGTTGTGTGAATTACGGTGTTGTACACAGGCATTCCTTGTGTCGTCAGACCTGCTTGCGTACTGGCGTTCTGAAATACGTGTTTGGAGGTCCTTTGATGTTTCGCCCACGTATAATTTGTTGCAGTCATTACAAGGGATTATGTATACCCCTGCAGAGGGTGGAAGCTTGTCCTGTCTCTCACTGGTAATGTCCTTGATGGTCGTGGTTGTGGAGGTAGATACTTGGAATGAGGTATTGGAAAAGATGTTGGAAACGTGTTTGGCAATGGATCTTCCATTTCCAGCCAGCGATTTCATCGACCTTGTTGAACTATGTGTTGGCTTTACGTGTTTCTCTTTCGAAAACCACCTCTTTCAGCAGACTTTTGGACTACCCATGGGTTCGCCACTCAGTGCGGTCCTGGCGAACCTACACATGGAACATCTAGAAGCCGAACGTTTCTCCACCATTATTCCTTCGTCTGTCACCTGGCTCCGTTATGTTGACGACATTCTCCTCATAACTCCTAAACGCTTCAACGTTCAAGCTCTCCAAGACAAGCTCAACCAGGTCGAGCCTTCAATCCAGTTCACACTTGAAGAAGAAGTCGACAACACTCTTCCTTTCCTTGATGTTCTGCTCTGCAAAGCTGACCACGAACTTCGTTTTAAAGTCTATCGAAAACCCAGCAACCAAAACGATCTTCTCCACTTCTACTCTCACCACGACACCAAAACTAAACGTGGTGTAATTATAGGCTTCTTCCTGCGTGCACTCAGAATCTGCAGCAATGAGTTTCTTGAAGAAGAATGCACGATAATTGAACAAGTATTTCTAAACTCCACTATCCTCGTCACTTCATCAGAGACTGCAGACGACGGGCATTAAACATCTTCAACAAAACCCAGAGAAGACACTACCGAGAAGAGATACATAGTCCTCCCCACCAACTCCATTGCCAAACACGTTTCCAACATCTTTTCCAATACCTCATTCCAAGTATCTACCTCCACAACCACGACCATCAAGGACATTACCAGTGCTAGACAGGACAAGCTTCCACCCTCTGCAGGGGTATACATAATCCCTTGTAATGACCAACAAATTATACGTGGGCGAAACATCAAGGGACCTCCAAACACGTATTTCAGATCACCAGTACGCAAGCAGGTCTGATGACACAAGGAATGCCTGTGTACAACACCGTAATTCACACAACCACTTGATAAACTACAGAAACTCAAGACTTATCGCCACAGAAGACAACACTCAATACCGAAGAATCCTGGAATCATCACTTATTTCTATATCCGACAACTTCAACCAGAATAGTGGCTTCTATAACATAGCTGAACCACTTGCCAAGAAACTTCTTCATCGCTATCCCACATAAGAACACAGGAATGGAAGTACACTGTAGAAGGTCTGCTCACAAACTTATCCAATCTCCTTTCCAAGCTACCCAAGATTTTAGACTCTATAACCCCACTCGGTACATCATCAGATGCAGCATTCTCCACCTGATCTCAGCATTCTGAACCTGACTATAAATACTCGCGTCCCTTCCACCCCAGGTAGATCTGTTTGTGACTTGAAAAAGCTCACTGTGTGGGCGAAACGTAGTCAATAAAGGATCACATTATACTGCATATGTGTTTATATTTCCCTTATGGTCTAGTGTTGCACGGTTAGTATGCCATCAGTACTGTTTCTGATGCAACTTCGCCCACCTGCAGGCTTGAGCAGGTGGGGTGGTGGAAGTGGACTTCCTCCGATGGATCTAAGACTTCCCTCTGCCGGCCCCTGTATCGCCCCCTCAGCCAGATCTACAGCGACTTCGGCGGGAGGGAGCTGAGGGCAGCAGTAGCCGACAACTGGCCTTACTTCCAGGTGACGAGACAGCCAGACGGGACCCTCCCGCCATTCTCTGGGATTGACTACAACCTCTCAGCACCATCGGTGGCAAACTCAACTTTACGTAAGATATCAGTGGTAACACGATGGATTTTTTCAAATTCGCTGCAGTATGTGAAGCGCTGAACCAATGTAGATCAAAATTATTATTATTATTATTATTATTATTATTATTATTATTATTATTATTATTATTATTATTATTATTATTATTATAGGGAAGCGCTGAACCTGTAGTGATCATAAACACTTGAGACATGATGAAATATATCAGGTTTGATCCAATGGAAGTAAGAGAATCGATTTCCATGGATCATGAGCCCTTCACCAGCATTAAAGCATCATTCCTGAAAATTTTTTGCATTCACAAAGTTCAATCATGTTATATAATATACGACAACATACATATTGAGTCGTTCTAATAATAATAATAATAATAATAATAATAATAAATAATAATCATAGTGCCATAAATCACACTTACACTTTAACACAATTCTTGAAAAAATAAAAAAAAAATTCTTCCTTTGTCATTGATGAGGGTGGAATCAGTTTATTCCACCAATCGTTAGAGATTACATAAGCAAATGTTTATAATAATAACCTATTAATTTTTAAAGGTGGACCGGTACCAGCGGAAGGCCTTGAACAGATGACTAAATAGCTCCAAACTGCTGCGGGTCAATCATATACTAAGACCCGCGTCAGGAAACACTTGTTCCCTGTTTCCTGACAAACCTTAACCTACCTATCCTAGAGAGATTCTATTGTGGAGGTATGGCTAAGGAGAGGGAAGTATCTATTGTGAAGGGATTCTGTTGTGAGAGGGGTTTACCTATTGTCAGAACAGATACTATAAAGTCGGTGGCCGGATCAGCCGGGCTGTGGTTCGTTACGTTGGACTATTTCGCCACAACAACAACCTGGTTGGATCAGGCCTTGATCCACCGGGAGGCCTTGTCCCATGGACGTGGGCCGCGGGGCATTGATTCCCCGAATACGTCTATTATTAGAGGGGGTATACACTGTGGTAGAACATGTCTATTGTGAAAGGTGGTACGTCTATTTTGTGAGAGATATATCTTGAAGAAAATAGATCTAACCTAAAAATTTATGGAGGGAGCCCGTTAGTGGTATGTGTTAGAGCAGGAAAACCACGCCACAAGACTGAACCACACTCATGTTTGTGCGAGAGCGTTGCACGACGGTTCAATCCCCAGCATGGGAAGGCAACATACCCAACGTTTCAACCCCATGCTGGGGATTGAACCAGACACTTAAGTGTGTGAGGCGAAAGCGTTGCCAACCGAGCCACGGTTCAATCCTACAGTCAGTTGACAGATCTTCCTATCACTCTCAGTAGTAGTATTTACCATCTCCAGGTATAGTAACCATTACCATTAACCGTCCGTAGACTCAACGACCAACCGTCTCTGCCTGAGTCACTATCCTGAATTCATATTGTGCTGACTCTTCAGCAGTATCCAAGGCCCCCTCAACACTGGGTACAACAGGCAGCCAGGATATCAGTGTTCGAGAGGAACGAGTGAGATAGCCACGGCTGTAAGGGCTCTCTCCACATATCACAATGTATACGTAACACAGCCTACGTGATATTCTTACCTAATCCACGTACAACTCCCACAGATAAATGGTGTACAAGTGTAGCAGCGTGTGAGCGTGAATAACGTTTTTAAGGTAAATTCAAGGCGTTTGAAGACTGTTGTGAGTAGCCGGCAGGGTCAAAGGTGATCTCCAGCCAGTCGCCTACCTCCCCTCAAGCAACCTCCGCCAGCCGTTTATACCTCACTCCACAACCTTCACCTGCAAGCCTGTCCAGCCGTTTCAAGCTTCCTGCTTAGTTCGTGTGCTATTGCTTCAATCTCCAGGGGTTTTACCCGGATTTTTGCAATTAAGCCAGTCAGAACCAACTGTGGAAGTGAACGCCAGTCACCTATCATCAGCCTGTCTCCTGTCATCCAACTGCGCCTCTCCCTTGCTTGTGTGCATCGTTTACCCCCCGTCTTCCAGTCACATTCTCGTGGGTAAGCCAGTCAGCCAACCCAGCTTCTAACACCAGCTGAGAGAAGAAGTACGCCAACGCAGTAAGAAGTAAGCCAAGATCCTCTGAGTATTGTCTATATCCTTTGTGCTCCCTGGTTGGATGCTAAGAGTGGTTTTTCCACCATTCCCTGTGGCATAGAGTGTGTTATCAAGCCACCTTCCCCTGGGTAGAGTGGAAATCGCGCCTTGACCGCCAGCAGAGGCACACCCACCACCCCACCCACCACCAGCACTCTCCCACCACTAGACACCATCATCTACCTGTGGTTTGTTTGTAAACCCTTGTAACCGAGGGTCCTATACGTTTAGTCCTCACATAATTGGTCCAAGAAGATGTAGCTGCGCCAACTTCAACCCAATTATGTGAGTTCTACTAGAACGCGCATTCCTTCCGACAACATGAGTGTAGTGACTCAGCCCTCACAGCCCGTCTACTACTCCCGACTTCAGTGATAATTTTCTTGCACATTTTTTCTTGCATTAAAGAAATTGCCGTTGTGAGACATATATAGTACATTGCTTTTGGTACTCTAAACCCTTGTGTTTTTATTTTTCGTTACTCATTATTTTTTACAATAATTTCAGTGTTTTCACCTTATCTTATATTATTTTATTCTGTGTTTTTCCTTTATGCTACTCCTGTCTGTAGTAAGTTTATTGTGTAGTGTACATGTCAGTCACCCTGTTGAAGTGATTCATTTTTTTTAATGTATCTTTCAGCGTTGTAATTCTCCAGTAATTATCACTGTATTTCATGCATGATAATTCCACCCAGTATACTAATTATCCATTTATTTCTATGTGTGTCCTTTGTTTCGTATGCCAGCAGTGTCTCATTCCTCTAATTTTTTTTGTCGCAGACTGTGTACATTAATTTTGCCAGCAAATTTTTTGTCGTATCATCACAGCAAGATTTTGTTGTATCATCACAGGCAGGAAATTTGTTTGTAAGAATAAACTAATACTGTTGTGTGCTCCGCCACTGTAGTGTTATAATTCCCTATTTGTTCCTGTGTTTTATTTTTTTTATAATTCTTGAACAAATTCACGCTTATGCAATTCATACATTTTAACGTAAAGTGTTTTCCTTACTCTGTTTGATTACATAGTTTTGTCTAATTACAATTAAGAGTTAAAGTGTTCAATCATAATTTTTTTTGATCTCATATTTTTAATTCATTATTTACCTGAGGTTCCAGTACACTTTAATTACTGCAAGTGATTATTTTCTAACACTTTATTTTGTTGCTCTTGTTCAGCATTGAATTATTTTTGTTAAAACTTGATCTGCATTGAATATTTTCTTTTATTGATATTTTTATGAATTATATTATAATTTTGTCTATGCTTCATTTAGAAAATACTTAAAATTCCCAGTTTAACAATTTAATAATTTTTATTTTACACTTTCATCATTGATTTAAATAATTTAATTAATTAATTTTTTTATTAGCAAGAAGTAAAAGACAGCTCATTTTGAATTTAATTCAGTTCTCCAGTAATATTTTTACTTGAATAATTCAATGTAAATTTTTTTTTCTTGTCATAGTCCTTTAAATTGAGTTTTCCTTCATCTTCAGTGACTTAACATTATTATTATCTGCAGAATAATTTATATCTTTTCAATTTCAATTCCTAGAAATTTTATATCATTTTTATTGTTTCATTTATTTTTGCCTTATTTGTATCTCAGTGCTACTTTAGCATTATGTCTCACATACCCGTCAAGTGATACTTTTAGTGAAGTCGACACTGAGACCTCTCAGGCTCACTGCGGTCATGGTCAACAGTCCCCTCACAGTTCCTTCCCGACTGAAAGGACAGACCCAGACACCGAGATATTATAAGTTATAACTCGTGATTCCCTTGATGCGTTCCTTTATTCAATGGGGCCATGTACATATTCTTGAAGCATGGTTTTGCAGCCATTCGTTCTCGTGCTAGTGCCCCTAGGGAAGGTCCTCCTTCAGAGAATGCCTTATCAGAAATTGCTAAAGAAGCTCTTTTATCGATCTCCTCTGCTGTTCACGTTGTTTGATCTCCTTGATATGCGAAGACTATCCAGGAATCTACTAAGTGGTCACAAGATGAGGAACTGATTCGTTCTTCCTTGTCCCAGTAAAAACAGCTGATCCATATGTCGTTCTTAGGTAACTAGTGAATGCTACAAGCGACACCCAAGAGTAATTAATCGTTGAGTGCATTTGCTGTTAGATTAGACAAACTTTTTTTTTTTATCATCATTTTCATGCTGTCCAATCATCAACTTTCTCCCTGAAAGGCAAACCATTTACAGAATCAATGCTAAAAAATAGCAGCTTTTGAGCAAGTAAAGCACTAATGCCCACCTGCTTCTGGTGGCTTAAGAGGCTCATCCTCCAACTGTTAACGATGGAACCACTTACATCCACCCTTAAATCATGTACGTTCCTTGTCCCCCCAGGGTACTTTCCCTTGTATTAAAAGTAATGTCACACATAGCCTCAGTCTGCACCACCTCTTGTTTGCGCCACAGAGACAAATCCGTGGTCGTCAACCATCTCAGAGATCCATCAAGAGCGTTATACACCTCGTAGATTCCATAGTACATTCAGTAACCATATCGGCTGAATTGTTACAATGAGGTTTCCGTGGACATATTGCAATTAATTTGTCCTGATAAAAGTTACCCTAAAGAGAGCGTCACGTACGTTAGGGAGATGAGTACTTCAGATCGTTCCCTACTGTAACATATCATTATAATCATTGGACATGACACATCGAGTGTATGCCCTCTATAACCTTCAGTACCTAGTCTTTCCGTGTCGTTCCAACCGCAGAACCCGTAAGAGAAACAGATTCTCGTGGTTCCAAAATAACCGAACCAGCTCTTCATTATCAAATTCTCAAACTAACCAAACCAGGCTCGTTTCTTCCAATTCGGGAATTCGAGCGCCCCATCAAACCGTCCCATGTGACATATGTGATAATGAGTACTCCATCCCCGTTCACAATTCCTTT